AATATTCCGATTTGGGGGCCAAATTAAGACAGAGTTCACGGATTGGTAAATAATAATAGAGGAGAAATGTGAAAGAAAACACTAGGCCCGTGACCTTTTTACAATCCGTTCTCCTTTGTATTTTTCTTCTAAGTTTCGCATCATTAATCACTGTATTCACATGCATATATCCCCATATACAGTATTACTCATATTATGGTATTTATGGTTGCTATCATATGATATGAGTAGATATGAAAATATAATGTTTTTTTTTTGAAAAAATAATGTTGATTAAATATATTTTTGTCCACATGTTATTTGGCTTTATTCCTCTTTTTTCCTTTGTCAAGTTCTTTGGATGTATTCATACTTATTAATCTGTCGACTCTTTGGATATATCGCTAACTTTCAATTTCAGTCTGCACCTAATTAAATATATTCATTTTCTTCTTCTGTATTGTAGGATTATACATACATTGCAGCAGCATTAGGGTTTAAGTTTTGAGCATTTCATTTCTCTGGATAGAATCGATCTCTAAATGCTGTTGAATACTTTCTTTTGGTATATTGTACGATAAAATAGTTATATATCATACTATCATTATATAATACTTTTTCCAAAAACTTTACAAGAAAAAAAAACTAAACGACACACATAAAAAATACCATGCAATCGAGTAAAACTAACTTTTATATAGTAAGGTCTTAAATTTCTGTTAAAGAAAAAGGATTCCATAAAACTCAACATCCATAAACCTCTAAGAAGGATAAACACAAAAGACTGAAAAAATCCAACACTGTACTTCAAATATAGAAACAAAGAATCTAAAGTGAAAAAAAAAAAACAAAATATGTAAATTATGTTTTTGGCGTACAACAATAAACTCCAAAAGACATCATCACAAGACCAAATAAAAACTTATTATAAAATCTAATTCGTACTACACTCTTCAACGTCTCAAACTCTCACAAGTTAGCACCATATGGACAATCCTCCGTCGCCTCCGCCGGAGACGGCGGCCTATACATTAACCACCTCTTCAATCTCCTATACCAAACCCAAAACCTCTCTTTCCCTCCTCGGCTTCCCCGCGACTGAGCCACCCTCCTTTATCCTCCGCAACATCACTCTCTCTGCTCATCCCACCGAGATCCTAGCCGTCGTTGGCCCTTCCGGTGCCGGAAAATCAACTCTCCTTGACATTCTCGCCTCTAAAACCTCCCCAACCTCCGGCTCAATCCTCCTGAACTCCATTCCCATTAACCCTTCCTCTTATCGGAAAATCTCCTCTTACGTTCCCCAACACGACTCTTTCTTCCCTCTCCTTACCGTCTTTGAAACCTTCTCCTTCGCCGCTCGTCTCTTGCTCCCAAACCCATCAAAAGTCTCTGAAACCGTAACCTCTCTTCTCTCAGAACTTAACCTAACACATCTTTCCGACACAAGACTCGCTCAGGGCTTATCCGGTGGCGAAAGAAGAAGAGTTTCTATAGGTTTAAGTCTCCTTCACGACCCTTGCTTTCTCCTCCTCGACGAACCTACTTCGGGTTTAGACAGTAAATCCGCTTTTGACGTCATTCACATCCTCAAATCCATCGCTGTGTCAAGACAACGGACCGTGATCTTGTCCATTCACCAGCCTAGCTTCAAGATTCTCTCTATCATCGATCGGTTGTTACTTCTTTCAAAAGGAACTGTTGCGTACCACGGAAGGCTTGACTCCCTCGAAGGTTTCTTGCTCTTCAAGGGATTCACCGTCCCTCCGCAGCTCAATTCCCTCGAATATGCCATGGAAATACTTCAAGAACTTCGAGAATCCGAGGGAAACACCGACGCTATTCCTCTCCCCTCGACCGAAAACCGGAAACATAGAGAAAAACAGAGTATTGTTCGATATAGAACATCAAGAATCACCGAGATAAGCCTTCTCTCGAGAAGATTCTGGAAGATCATTTACCGGACAAGACAACTACTTCTGACCAATGCATTAGAAGCACTTGTAGTTGGTCTTGTCCTAGGAACTATCTACATCAACATCGGAATCGGCAAAGCAGGAATCGAGAAAAGATTCGGCATGTTCGCCTTCACGCTCACTTTTCTCCTCTCTTCAACAACCGAAACCCTCCCGATCTTCATCAACGAGCGTCCGATTCTTCTCAGAGAGACTTCAAGTGGTGTTTACAGACTCTCCTCTCACATTCTCGCCAATACACTCGTTTTCTTGCCATACTTGTTCGTTATCTCAATCATTTACTCTGTTTCGGTCTATTTTCTCATTGGTCTTTGCCCCACGTGGCAAGCTTTTGGGTACTTCGTTCTCGTGATATGGATTATTCTCCTAATGGCGAACTCTTTCGTTCTCTTCTTGAGCTCTCTTGCCCCAAATTACATTGCGGGAACCTCTCTTGTAACGATTCTTCTAGCGGCTTTCTTCTTGTTCTCCGGTTACTTCATTTCCAAGGAAAGTCTTCCCAAGTACTGGCTTTTCATGTACTTCTTCTCAATGTATAAATATGCATTGGATGCACTTCTGATAAATGAGTACTCGTGCTTGGCCTCCAAGTGTTTGGTCTGGTTGGAGGAAGCTCAAGCGAAGATCTGTGTGGTTACGGGAGGTGACGTGTTGAAAAAGAAAGGGCTTGATGAGAAACAAAGGTGGTTGAATGTTTATGTTTTGTTAGGGTTTTTCGTACTTTATCGCGTCTTGTGTTTTCTTGCTCTCCTTAGAAGGGTTTCAGGTTCCAAGAGGTAACTATTTTTCTTTTGCTTAATTACGTTTTTTTGTTTTGTAAATTTATTTCTTCATACTGATCAATCTATGTTAACTTAAGAAAATATCTCCGTATCGATCATTGATCTCTTGGAACTATTATAAAGTCTTTCATAGACATTCGAATTCCTTTTCACCTTTCAATGTTAACTAGGTGTTTGCTATGTAGAGACATGTCACGTACGAATAATGAGAGGTTAAATTCAACGTTTGTAGACCTAGCCTGTGCCTGTCGATTGCATTATTTTTCAAAATAGTTAATAAGAAAAAAATCTTGAGGTCTAGTTTCACTCAGTTATGTATGTACATCACATTTTGGACCCATAAGGTTAAAACTTTGCTATAGAAAGGAGAAAAAACGTCGATAATATGATGTGGACACGATTTATTCTCGATCACAAGAAACCGGAATAAGTACCATATAGGTCCATAGATTGATCCACCAACACTAGTTTAAATACTAGTTCGAATCAAGTGGTGGTTTTAGTGAAAAGGAAATACATGTTCTCTTTTTCAAGTTATGTCATAGATAGATAGTCATTAGATATAATTCTACTCGTTTATAAAACTAAGTAAGTAACCAAAAGATATAGTATATAGAGAAATCAAATAAAATCAGTTTGTGTTCAGGCTAGGATTTAGGTGGGGACAAGGTGGATAAAATAGATGGCATGGAAGAGGCGTTTTGGCTAACTTGTAGCTTGGAGACAAACCTTGGTCTTCACGGGTCTCCATCTTCTTCTCTTTACAAAAGAAAACATACACACACAATTCTATTTCTATTCGAATTTTACGATCAAAATGAAGAATATTTGATAAGACATGTAGCAAAGTGGTTTGAACTACTTACGTATTATATATAATCTAGTATGCAAGAGAGTTGCACACGAAAAATGAAAGATTAAAGAATATTTGTGATATATAACCTTTTTTTTATGATATATAACCTTTTATCTTTCAATAATTTTGTGCTAAGAAATTTTTAGTTATAAATCTCTAAACTAATCCGTATAGAACTTATATTCATGTCAAGTGTTTATTGTCTTGATATTGTATGGACATTAGACAACCACACATCGAATTCTAAGAACATCCGAATTCGTGATTTATTGATAGTTGACTTTTCCACGTAAATTTTTTTCTGTCAAAAGTTCTGTAATTTTAAAAGTAGAGATTTTTCATTTTGGTCACGTTGCCACTTGCCATCCCAAAATGTAATGCTGCTTTTTTCTTGTTTGTTTCCTTGAAATTTAGTCCCAAGTGGAATAGCAGTCATGAGTACAATGTACATGCAAAAACTGATATATACACACACACACAAACACATGCATATAAAAAACAAAATATCACATTGTGTTCACGGACCTGTTCTTTGTCTACTCGCCCGTGAATGCCTTTTCGCTGAATACCATTGTTACCAAACAGTTGTTTTTGTCGTTATTGTTTGATTTCCGTTAACGAGTTTTGAATACATTACTAGGTCAACTAAAAAAATAAAAAACATGACTCCACACATGGTTTGGTTAACCGATGTTTGGATTAGAATGTACTCTAAATGGATGTTATTTCAGTGTTACTGAATCCATTTTTTATTGGGATTAGAATGTACTTGTTTTTTACTCTTCTATGGTTAAGTACACCAACATACTTTGGACTGATGTTAGTATATTCTCTATCAGAACACATTGATCCCTCTTAACCAAGAATTGAACTAGAGAGCTAGCTAGCGAGTAGTGACATCATGCAATTTTGGTTTTCCCTAAACTGAAACTTGGAATTGTCTTGTTGGCTTATCTTTTATTTTGTGGGGTTTAAACTCTAGCTAGAATGGGCTTTCTTAAAACATTGGTGAACTTGTTTATTTTAATTTAATGCATCACATTTTGTCAAAGAAAACAAACTTTTTATAGAACTATGTATAGAAGTATAGAACTATAGATTAGTTTGTAAAATGAATTGTGTGATTATTCTGAACATAAATTATGAAAAATAAACTGGTAGCCAATATTTTACATAAATATATTTTAAATTTATTCTTTTAATAAATATTTAAGATTTTGTAACCAAAAAAATATGATAAATTAAGGTTTCAGACTTTCAGTCATATAATAAGTTATACGATAATTTTATTGGGTGATAGATATTGCAATATTTTAAAATTTATTTAGTGTTAATAGATAATTGACTTACTTGAGCGTTGTTTCCCTCCAACTAAATCGAGCAAATCTCAACAGCGATGTGAACTTTAAAGTTTCGATCTTTTTCGTCTTCAAAGCTTGATGCAAAAGAATGGCGACCAAAGTAGCCGCAACAGCTTCTGCATTTCTCTCTCGCACTAACGAATTGAGTAATCTTCAACAAGCATGTATTCGGATTCTCTCCTTTTGCGAATCGAATTCATCGCGCATTGGTTTACACATCCACTGCCCTGTAATCAAGTTTGGTCTTTTAGAGAATCTCGACTTATGCAACAATCTTTTGAGTCTTTACTTAAAAACCGATGGTATATGGAATGCACGTAAGTTGTTCGATGAAATGCCGCAAAGAACTGTTTTTGCATGGACAGTTATGATCTCTGCTTTTACCAAGAGTCAAGAGTTTGCGTCAGCGCTTTCGTTGTTTGAGGAAATGATGGCTTCGGAAACACACCCGAATGAATTCACATTTTCCTCGGTGATAAGATCTTGTGCTGGTTTAAGAGATCTTAATTACGGAGGTCGAGTTCATGGTTCTGTTTTGAAGACTGGGTTCGAGGGAAACTCCGTTGTTGGAAGCATCTTGACTGATTTTTATTCTAAGTGTGGGAAGCTTAAGAAAGCTCGTGAACTGTTTAGTTCTCTTCAGAACGCGGATACCATCTCGTGGACGATGATGATATCTTCTCTAGTGGGAGCTCGTAAATGGAGTGAAGCGTTGCGGTTTTACTCTGAGATGATTAAAGCTGGTGTTCCTCCTAACGAGGTCACATTTGTTAAGCTTTTAGGTACCTCTTCCTTTCTCGGTTTGGAGTTTGGTAAAACGATTCATAGCAACATAATTGTCCGGGGAATTCCGCTGAATGTGGTATTGAAGACATCTCTCGTTGATTTCTACTCGCAGTTTTCTAAAATGGAAGATGCTGTGAGGGTGTTGAATTCGACTGGAGAACAAGATGTGTTTCTTTGGACGTCTGTGGTATCAGGGTTTGTAAGGAACTTGAGAGCCAAGGAAGCTGTTGGAACGTTTCTTGCTATGCGAAGTTTGGGTTTGCAACCAAATAACTTCACATACTCTGCAATCTTGAGCTTGTGTTCTGCTGTTCGTTCGCTGGATTTAGGCAAACAGATTCACTCACAGATAATGAAGGTTGGCTTCGAGGACAGCACTGATGTCGGAAATGCACTTGTATATATGTATATGAAGTGTTCGGCATCAGAAGTAGAAGCTTCGAGAGTCTTTGGAGCAATGATTTCACCAAACGTCATCTCTTGGACAACGTTAATCTTAGGTCTTGTTGATCATGGGTTCGAGCAAGATTGTTTTGGACTGTTGATGGAGATGGTAAAACGAGATGTAGAACCCAATGTTGTTACTCTATCTGGTATTCTCCGAGCCTGTAGCAAATTGAAATATGTAAGGCGGGTATTAGAGATTCATGGATATCTACTCAGAAGACACGTAGATGGTGAAATGATAGTAGGGAATTCACTTGTCGATGCTTATGCCAGCTCGGGTAAGGTGGATTATGCCTGGAATGTGACTAGGTCGATGGACAGGAGGGATAATATCACATACACGAGCTTGGTAACAAGATTTAATGAGTTGGGCAAGCATGAAATGGCACTGAATGTCATCAATCATATGTATGGTGATGGAATCAGAATGGATCTGTTAAGCTTACCCGGGTTTATCTCAGCTTCAGCCAACTTGGGCGCTCATGAAACTGGGAAACATCTTCATTGTTACTCCGTGAAATCCGGGTTTTCTGGTGCGGTTTCGGTTTTAAATAGTCTTGTTGACATGTACAGTAAATGTGGTAGCTTGGAAGATGCAAAGAAAGTTTTTGAAGAAATAGCTACGCCTGATGTGGTTTCTTGGAACGGGTTGGTATCTGGTTTGGCATCAAACGGTTGTATTTCATCTGCTCTATCTGCATTTGAGGAGATGAGGATGAAAGGAACCGAGCCCGATTCAGTAACGTTCCTGATATTGCTCTCTGCTTGTAGTAATGGAAGATTGACGGAGATGGGTCTTGAGTATTTCCATTCAATGAAAAAGATTCATAACATTGAGCCACAGATAGAGCACTATGTTCATCTAGTTGATATCTTAGGTCGTGCTGGACGGCTAGAGGAAGCAACAGAAGTTGTAGAGACAATGCATTTAAAACCAAATGCTATGATCTTCAAAACATTGTTGAGAGCTTGTAGATACCATGGAAATCTGTCTTTAGGAGAAGATATGGCTAACAAAGGCTTAGCACTTGCACCATCTGATCCAGCTTTCTAAATTCTCTTGGCTGACTTATATGACGAATCTGGAAAACCAGAGTTGGCCCAAAAGACTCGAAATTTGATGAGTGAGAAGGGTTTGAGTAAGAAGCTAAGCAAGAGCACTGTGGAGGTTCAAGGAAAAGTTCACAGCTTTGTCGGTGAGGACGTTACTACAGTGGAGAAAACGAATAGGATTTACGCAGAGATAGAATCGATAAAGGAAGAGATCAAAAAGTTTGGTTCTCCATACCGAGGTAATGAAAACGCAAGCTTTCACAGTGCAAAACAAGCTGTTGTATATGGATTTATCTACGCGTCACCAGAAGCTCCAGTTCATGTTGTTAAAAACAAAATCCTGTGTAAGGACTGCCATGATTTCGTGTCCATCTTGACCCGGTTAGTCGATAAGAAAATAACTGTAAGAGATGGGAATCAGGTACATATCTTTAAGAATGGAGAATGTTCTTGCAAAAGGGAAGAAACATCATTTGTAATATCATAGGTTTTTAATAAGAATGATAAAACATTTGTGAAAAGACATTGTTATAGTTTTGAAAATTATTAAGCATTTTATTCAGAGGCTGACCACCGACTCGGAAACAACTCTAGCCAAAAAAGCAACAAGCACACAATATGTAAAACTGGAAGTTACTCCTTCAACTGCGGATCGCTGGAGCTAGCAGCCGGGATCTCTGTTTTAGACTCTGCAAGTAGACCTTCAAGCGTTTTGTAGAACTCTTCAGGAAGAGGTCCAGGTCGGTGCTGAGGAACGTGCTTGGGAATCGGCGCATCGTTCTCAATTACTTCACACTCATAGTCATCTGGAACACCCCAAGGATCCCACTCTGCATATACAAAAAGAACAAATTACAACTCCACAGTGGAACATATTGTAAAAGACAAAGTCAGAACTCAGAACAAATGAGGCAAGATTTTAGACCACTGGAAGTCTGCTCGGTAGCATACCACAACCAAAGAATGTGATAAAGCTCAAACAATAGCTACTTCTACAAAATGTGATTGCATTTCATAAAACCAAGAAATAAGATCACTGAAACCTCACTCACACCATAATGAAGATTCAAAAGAGAGTTGTCACAAGCATTAACACTAATGTACAGATAACTGCAAAGCAAGAACATGACCACACACCTACGTGTGTGACATTGAAAGCAAAAACCTTCCAAACTAAAGTGAACTATGCAACCATTCACCCATACGCCAAAGTCAGCAAATCATACAAAAACCTAAACTTTTGCATTCCCTTACTTGTATTTCAGTTCTAGCTTCAAAATTTCTATCAATAGCCCCATAAAAGGGTCACTTTTGCAATGCTCGGTGTTCAGTTTTTGCCACCTAACGATTCACAAAGCCTCAAGATTCAGATTCTCAATTACCAAACCCATTTCTTGGGAACGCCAATAGTTCAAAATTAAGTGATTATTGCAACAAATCAATCTATATTCCAATCAGACTGAATCATATAGGCGACGAGGGTACGAACCAATCATTTTCCCAATGAGTGTGAGCTCATCCCGTGCCTCTTCAATAAGCTCTTCGACTTGACCACAACCAAGCCGCTTCTCAATCACCTCCCAATCTTCTTCCTCCTTGCACACATTGAGACGGTGGCGCGTGAATGATTCAACCGATTTACGGTATCCTTCATCCTCCGGCACGGCTTGGATCTCCTTTAGGGTTTTGCTATAGAGATCGATCAACACCGCTCTCGCGTTAGGAACAACGTCAAGTCCGACGATCCCCGTTGTCTGCTTCACTTTAGCCAATAATGGCCGTCCGATTGCTCGTAGAAACATCTCAACCGTTGGATCGCTCTCTCTCCGTAACTCCGGCGAAATCTCAGAAATGTTTGTTGTTTGTTTACAGTGTCAACTCTCACTTTTCAGATGGAGAAGAAAACGAAAGAAATATGGGCCGATATTAAGTTAATTGGGCCTTTTTATAGTAATGGGCCTTATTAGTAAATGATAGGCTTTTGTTGCTTAGCATTAAAGTGATTGACATATGATGGATCTTGATTTTTAAGCATAATTATTAATTAATTCTATCTAATTTTTTACTTCTAATTAATTTTAATTCAGTTGTAATTTATTTTTATTTTAAAATATCCAATGTTTTTTTTTTCATGAGTAGTCGGGACCATTAGACAATATGGCCAACTCTTACGTTGGATATTTTTCTAAAAAAGAAACTCTTTTTTTCCTCAATTTGTTTTGATATTTTTGGTACATTAAATGCTTGTTCACTAAAGTAATACTCCCTCCGTTTCGTTTTAGTTGTCGTTTAAGGTTTTTGCACACAAATTAAGAAAATCATTAAATTTTTTGTTTTACCTTTTATTAATATATTTTATAATTTTTTCATTGGTCAAAACATTAAAACATTAATTTTCACCAAACATTTGCATTGAAAACCTAAAACGACAACTATTATAAAACAAAATTTTAATCCTAAAACGACAACTAAACTGAAACGGAGGGAGTAAGAAAACACTTTTAAAAAACTAATAAAGATAAGACAATCGAGAGAGGTAACAACTTGCATGCCCATCTCTCGTCATGAGAATCTGGACCGACCATAATATATGATATTTATACATTATTATAAAATAAATTAACATCTAAATCGTCATAGCCTTATTTTAATTATAGCAATAACGACCCTACTTTAGTTAATTCCAGAGACGTTTTTTTTTTTTGTCAATCATTCCAGAGACGTTTAATTGTAGGATTTTTCTAATAATCGAAATAAAATATGTTTGACCGACGCTTCGGATTACGACAAAAAAAACTTTATAATAAAAAAAGGTTGACCATTTAATAGAAGCCAAGGCACAAGTGGGACTAAAGACGCCAGATTTAGGGTCTTGTCTCGTGAAATTAAAGCCAACGAAAACCGGACTCGTTGTCTCCGGTCTGAACCGAATTAACTGTCGTCTAGCTATAGCTTGAGCTTCCCACATGATTATTTCTCAATTTATTACACTAACCCGATGTATTTAATTATCTCGACATTTAATGCAAGTGAATAATACGATACGAATTTTTTAGCATGGTTCTCGCTGCCAACTTTTTTTTTTAACGAGGCAGATTATTTTATTTTATTTTTTTTTTGAAGATATAATTATTTTACATTTTGTAACTGTTTATTTGTTTGTTACAGTATTTACCTCTATTTTGTTTTTTTTTTGTCAACCCTTATTTACCTTTATGACAATTAAAATAGACTGTTTGGACAAAATTTGTTGCTTTTTGGCTTCTTTTTTTTTTTAACACTTGCTTTTTGATATTTATAGTTTTAATAACACAGATAAAATCATAAATAAAATAGGAAAAAAGGAAAGATGTTGATTTATACATTTGAGCCAAGAAAAAGCTTTGGTATATGCAATGTCAATTTAAATCGACCAAATTATTAATCAAGACTAATTTTCTAATTTGAGCTATGAGTCTAAACAAAGAACAATTATGACTAGTCTTTCTTTCTCTGTCTCTCTATATATATTTTATAATAACACAATAAATGTCAAGTTTTTTAACAAAAATAATAATAATTAAAAACTGACTTTTTTCTTTTTGTAAATTGAGATATTATTCGTTTTCATCATCCACCACCGTCTCCGGCGGATCCGGCGGACCAAGATGGAAAATTTCCAGCGAAGAACAAATCATCTCGATCTCTCACCGCTAAATTCGGTATCAAAAGATCATCCACGTCATCATCTTCTTCTTCTTCTTCATCTTCTTCTACTTCCTCTTCATCTTCGTCGTCCATATTGACTTCTTGACTAATAATATCTTCATCACCGTTTGTTACTTGAACGTCGTCGTTTCCTTTCAACGGTGTCGTCGGAGATAGATGAATCTCTTCTTTTACTGTATCCGATAAAGGAGATGGGTCAGGTTTAGGAACCGGGTTAACGGGTTGAGATTTGTTACGAGTACTTCCGGCGAGAGAGTTCCGGTGAGTAGGACGTGGATGAGTGTGTTCTCCGGTGTAAGTAACAATGAAGATATTAGGATCTAAATTACTTCTTTCAACTTGTTTTCGAGCTAAACATCCTTTTGTGCTACTACATCTGTAATAATTCCTGTTTTATGTAACAAAAAAAAAAAAAAAACTCGATTAATTTAGTTAGCACATTTTCTAACTATTTTTGTGTCGAGAAAATTTTGAAAAAAAAGATTGATGACCTTGGATAAGGAGAGCCTTTGATGGGTTTTTGACCGTATTTACGCCATGCCCACAAATCAGAAGAAAGATTCTCTTGCGTTACATGACATATGGTTCTTTTTTGCTGATTCTTTCTACAAGCAACAAGACAAAAAGATAATTAAAGAAATAAACTTTGAATTAAGAGATGTGTTTAATTGATGAACAAACCTTTTTCTAGATCGAAGAGGAGGTTGGGATTGTTGTTGAAGAAGCTGGTCGCGTTGACCTCTAAAAACAAAGACAGAAGAAGAAGAAGAAGTGGATGGTGGGAAAACCCTAACACTAAGTGGAGGTTTTTGATCTTGTGATTCGTGGAGTACTTGTTCTTGTTTCATTAAGATTTTAGGAGATGGTGATGAGACTGTAGGAGGAGGAAGTAGAGGAGGAGAAGACCAAGTAGTTGTAGTAGTAGTAACGGGTAAAAAAGGTTTGCAAGAATCTTGCAGCTCGTTGCAAGAAGAAGAAGAAGAAGGCTCTTTGTTGTCTCTGTCTCCATGGATGTATGTAAACAGAGGAGGAGGATCTTGTTCTTGTTTACAGTTTCCTCTGTTGTCTTCATGACCAGCACAAGAGTTGGTGGTGGAAACAGAAGAGCTGCAGCTTCTGACGACGGCGAAGAGATCCCAATCCTCGGAGGACATGGTGATCTTGAATTCGTGGGTATTTAGGAAAGCTTATTTGCTTTTTGATTATGTTGGTGAGAGGAAGAGAGAGAGAAGGAGACAAACTATGGCGTAAAGGACGGCGCTGACTTTTTCTTTGTCGAAAGAGAGAGAGAGAGAGAGTATGGAGGGATTGGGGCAGTGTCCGAGAGAGGAATCGATGGTTGGGAGAGAGAGCACTTGACTTGCTATTCTTTTCAATTATTTATACATTTGACAAAAAAGAAAAAAAAATTACTTTTGATGGGTTTTCATATCTTCCTTTCTTCCCTCTTTTTTCGCATATATTTATACTCTTTAAAAAATCATATTATGATGTACTCCATCATCGTATATTTGTTAATATTTGAAAGAGTACCAATAATATTCGGTAACTAATATTTTATACTTTTTCTTTTTTCAAATAGTTTTTTTATAATATAGCTATCAATTTGTTTTTTCAATCCAATGATTTATTTTTGCTAAGATTTTAAATAATGATAGAGGGAAGTTTTTTTCGAAAATGAACAAAACTGCGGTATGACAAAATTTCGGTCATTAAATCTTTGTAAAGTGTGATATAAGATTTATATCAAATTATCTCGTCAACGATTAAAAAAGTGAGTAGTATATCATTTTGGAATATGTCTTTCTAATTAAGAAAAATATATATGATAATGTTCTTATAGATTAGGAAATGTTTTATGGTTTCTGAACAAACAAAGCATGTAAGACCCGATTTCAAATTTACCACCCACCTCTAATGGTAAATCAATTCAACATTCAGCCAGCAAACATTGAAACACTAACTTGCTTTGGAAGGTTTTTATCCTTTTTTAAAAAATTTTACTTAATGGACATTCCTATCACTTAAGGACTAATAATGATAAGTGGTAGTGATTTGGTATTTGGCATTTAAGAAAATTTAGTAACTAGTGCTAGAATATTCTCAAAGCTCATAAAATTTGATGGTTCGATGAAAATAATAAGAATTTATTTTACCAAAAAAAAAAAAAATAATAAGAATTTAGCAAGTTTATCGGATTTTCTTGTGAAAATTTAATTTATTTTATTAATATGTGTAATATGTTTTAATTTTCACACATTAATAAGATACAATTCATTTTCACAAGAAAATCCGATAAAAATTGCTAAAATTTTACAATAAAAATTGCTAAAATTTTACAATAAAAAATTCTAAGCAAGTTCGAAAAAGTTGGTTTCGTGAACCAACTATTCTGAAACCTGTGAACGTACATAAAAAAAAGATAGAACCTCGAATTCGAATATCTTTTGCATGGCAGTCGACACGGACATCATTGTTTCTAGAGATGAAAAATCGAAAAGAATACAATACATGTTTATTTTGAAGATATTGAATCTTTATACTTCCTCTGTTTTTTATAAGTAATGTTTTAAGTTTATAATTTTGTTCTTAAATAGATGATGTTTTCAATTTTCAATGCAAAATTAATTATTTTTTAATTGGTTTTGACGATTTATATTCTGTAGATTGATTTTTTATTAGTTGATTAGATAATCAATGATGTTTTAGTTTAAAAATAAATAAAAATTAAATGATTTCTTAATATATTTGCATTCTCTTCAAACATCACTTATAAAAGAAGAGAGAGAGTAATTTATAGTGAAAAAAATTGTGAAATAGATTTTTTGTCGTCAATGAAATAGATAATATGTTAATAAATAATATGTTTTATAACATTTTCTCCGGTAAAAGTCATTACAACATAAACAATTAGTTTGTTTTTAGCGTTAATGTCAATGCTGAGATATACACAAAAACAAGAAGAAATATTAAATTGTTTAAAACGTACGTAACGTAAGTAACATTGTTCACATAAAAGAATCCAAGAATTAGACGTTAAAAAAAGAAAGAATCCAAGAACTTAATGGTTTAAAATTGCATATATATATATACAAGATCAATTCTAGATTCCCCCTCACAAACGAATCTCATCACTGATTTAAGAGATATTTGTATGATTTAAAATGCTCACAAGATCTTACAAATAAAAGGTAAAAAAGCACGAATACTCCCTCAAATCATTAGGCCAAAAAAAAAAGAGAAAGAAAAATTGTGTGCTAAAAAATAAAATGGTAATGGTACGAATGATATTCGAACCAAACAAAGCACTTGCTTCACTTGTCACTCTCTACTTTAATTTTTTTTCCATTTTTTAAAATAATTTGTTATCTCACAGACACAACAGAGTTCTCGTAATTTCGTAAGTGGAATTTAGATACAGATTCTTGTCCTCTCTCACTACAATCTTATCCTACAAAAGCTGCTTTAATTTTGACTTTTTTAAACCAAGTCAAAGGTAGGGACCACCTTTGTTTTGGCGTACAGTAGCAGTAACAGCGCAGGATAGTCATATTGCGATGAAAGGTAATGATTCTCTGCTTCCGTATGTATTTGCTTTCTCTTGTCTGATTCGTCCGTTACTCTCACGCGCGTCTGGGCCGTGCGATTAACGCTTCTCTGTCAATAATCAACATGTAATATTATTCGCCGTATTTTTTGTTTTATTCAATTCCTCGATTCTTTTAAGAAAAAAATGTTGGTAAAAAAAGAAAATTCAATATCATTTTGACGGAAAATATATAAAAAAATTGAACTGCAAAAATACTCTTGTAGACTTTCAAAAATAATTTAAGAAAATTCTCAAAGTTTTTAAAACGTTTCTCTGACACTATTTGTATTTTTGCTTATTTGGGACTTGAGAGTTTTTGTCTTTTTGATTATCATTGTGATTTTGGCGAATATCATCGGATGTTTATAAAGCTACGTTTCCATGGATAATTTGGTATTTATGGAAAGCACGAAATGATAAAATTTATAATAATGTGGATCAAAGTCCAGAAGAGATTTTGCGGTTAGCAGAGAATGAAGAGCAAGCTTGGCAGTTAGCTCAGGTGGAAATACCGGATGACGTTGTAGACTCGGTAGTGGGGAATACACACTCACATTCCATGATTGACGAGCAAAGGCAGGTTGGAAATGGGTTTCAGTGTTATGTAGATGGGTCTTGGAAGGAGAGTGATCGATTCTCCGGATTAGGTTGGTTTTGTTCTAACCCGAATGATGGAACGCAAGACATGGGAGCTGCTAATCTTCGAAGAAGCTTAACCTCACTTCACACAGAGGTCGAAGCATTAATTTGGGCGATGAGATGTATGATCGGCCAAGACAAGAGAGAAGTAGCTTTCTTTACAGACTGCTCAGACCTGGTGAAGATGGTGTCTTCCCCGCAAGAGTGGCCAGCGTTCGCAACATACTTAGAGGCGATTCAGAGCGACAAGGAAGAGTTCGACGTATTCTCATTATCTTTAGTTTCTCGAAATGCGAATGTGAAAGCGGATAAACTGGCACGTAATGTTCGTACCCAGCCGCAACTTATTACCTATGTAAACAACTTACCACGACATTTGCTCATTTGAGCCAATTTAATATAGCTGTTGACAAAAAAAAAAAAGATTATCATTGTGATTTATTGAAAAATGGAACCTATATAAACTGTGTACTGTGAGAATCATCTTGTCAAATTACAAGTTTAAGAGCTGATTATGAAGATTTAATACTACTATATTTCACTTCGATTTTATTTTTCTTTATAGCTATAACAAAATTTGGTTTCAAAATTGTAAATTTATATTAACTTGGTGTTTCATAATAGAATACTTTTGGAGTATAAAATAATGTTAAAAAAATCCTATCGCAAGGACCCACTAGCTTACACTATTCTTCACTCATTTTGTTTTATGTTTTAGTATCATTGACCATAAATTAATTTATGTAAAGAAATGCGAAACGACAGCCTTTCTAAAGAGTTTCCATTGAATTTCGTAAGTTTATGTTGATCTTAAAATAGATATCGAAGACGAAAATAGATTTTCTCAGCTAAGTCTCAAACTAATTTATAAAAAGGCATTAAGATGCCACTAATATAACGCTTTAACTTGTCTCTTCTAAATAAAACAAAGCTTTAATTAGTCGGGGGTTACAAAGCTTTAGCCCTTTTTTTTGGGGCAGCAAGCTTTAACTTTTTATTTATGTGACAAAAACTCATTTTCATATAAAGTACTTTTTTTTTTTGCCAAACGACAATAACAAGTTTGCTCTATATACCCAATCTATTCATTTCAATTCAATATTAGTACTTTAGATTTATCATACAATTCAATATTAACACAAAATACGATATTACAAATTATATATGGACACAATGCGCATAAAACGATACTTACAAACTTCTCCGTTTGAGTAGTGACTTTCAAAGGAAAGCATTACTAATCTAAGAGCCATTAGATGGCTACTTCTCATACACATACAATATATATTCTATAACACATCACAATGCACCCATTATGGTTTGATAGATCGATATTTATGGAATCAATTAAAAAACCAATAAGAGGAGCAGAGGGATGGGTCCATACATGACACGTGAGGTAAACGACAACATGTGATGGATTCTTTGCCAATTCCTAAAAATATTATTTTACATTTTCCGTAAATGTTTTGAGTTGAGATTTGGAGTTATTATATACCACTCGGAATTTTATTGTATCCATTCTTTGCTTTTTGTTGTTGTTGTTGAATGAAATCTTTGCTTTTCTTGAAGAGATACTTTTTTCTTACATGCTTTATTTATCATCCAATTGAACCTTTGTATATATAATAGAAAGAACACTCTTTTTACAAGCAGATTGTTAAATTTATTGAGAACTTGTAAAATATTTTGTTTTTCAGTAGCAGTGATAAAAATAAAAACGTCTAACATAGCTAGTATATATATATAGAGAAAACATACGTTATTCTATCTATTGTCTATATTGTATTAAGCATATAATTGTATATAGTTATTTAGTATATACAGCTGTAATTATGTACAGTATAAATACTCTTTGTACAGCACATTATCAGATTAATGAGAAATAATCCTTTCCTTTATCTCTTTATCTAATATGGTATCAGAGCATATTCTTCCTTCCGCAACAAGATTTCTCATTCAGATCTTCATCATCGAGCTTCGATCTCCATGATCTGAGCTCATTTTTCTTCTTCTTAACCTTCGATTATCATAGATCGGGTTTCGTTTCATCTTTTTTGAGCTCCGATTGCTCTTTTTCATCTTCTTTTGCTCGCGTGCTTCTGGTTTCGTTTCAATGGCGGCTCCAAC